GGTGACTCAAGGCAACTCACATGTAACTCACCGGTAACTCACAGTTAACTCACAGATGGCTTGGAGGAGGTGGGATTATGAAGCCTCTTGAAACCTATGTTAGTTAAGGGAGATTAAGACCAGACAGGGTGTGTGAGAGAGTAGGGTGAGGCAGGTGTGTGTTGGGGGGGGTAGGACTGCAGCAGGTGTGTGTGGGAGAGTAGGGTCAGTAGGGTGGGTGTGGGAGAGAGGGCTGGGGTAGGGGTGGGGAGAGTAGGGGCTGTGTAGGGGTGTGTGGGGAGAGAGGGTCAGGTAGGGTGTGTGGGAGAGTAGGGCTGTAGGGGAAAAGTAGGGCTGTAGGTGTGTGTGGGAGTAGGGTCAGGTAGGGGTGTGAGTAGGGTCAGGTAGGGTGTGTGTGGGAGAGTAGGGCAGTAGGGTGTGTGGGAGAGGGGTCAGGTAGGTGTGTGTGGGAGAGTAGGGTCAGGTAGGGTGTGTGGGTGAGTAGGGTCAGGTAGGGTGTGTATGGAAGAGTAGGGTCAGGTAGGGTGTGTGTGGGAGAGTAGGGTCAGGTAGGGTGTGTGTGGGAGAGTAGGGTCAGGTAGGGTGTAACGGAGGGAATGCGAGAAGAGAAAAAGAGACGGGGTAGGGAAGGTAAGAGAATGAGGTGGAAGAGGAGAAATTGATGGAGAGAGAGAGAGACAGACAAAGTGAGAGAGGGAGGGAGGAGAGGCGGTGGGACGGAGGCAGAGGGGAGTAGAGGGGGAGCAGGAGGAAGAGAGTGAGAAAGAGAGGGAGGACGGAGAGAGAGAGAGAGATGAAGAAGGCAGGGAAGGAGAGAAAAGGGAAGATGAAGGAAATAGGTAAGGGAGATAAAAAAGAAGAAAAATAAAAGACAAAAAGAGAGAATGAAAGAAGTAAATAGGTGTAATGAAAAGAAAGAGAGGAAAGTGCGAAGGGTAGACAGACATAAGAGAGAGAAAATGATATCAACAGAAAAAGGGAGACAAAGATAAAAAGAAAGAGGGAAAGACGACGAAATGGAGGAGGCAGTTGAAGAGAAAGAAGAGGGAGGAATGGATTAAATAGCCCGCGAGTATTGATAGTTTTCCGCTGATTGGAAGTGTTTGAGCAGCAGCTGATGGAGGGGACGGGGGGGATACAGGGGGACGGGGGGATACAGGGGACGGGGAGGATACAGGGGACGGGGAGGATACACGGGGAGGGGGGGGAGGATACAGGGACGGGAGGAAAGTTAAGACAGCCAGGGAAAAAGAGTAAGAGACCAGTAGGATGGTTGGAGCACACATTGAGTCCTACAGGATTAGAAGGATCGATGAATTGGATACATGGATTAGGTGAGGAGTGATCTATAATTGTGCAGTTACAAAGCTTGAGCGCCCCACACCCCACACCCCCACCCCACATCACATCCCACACCTTCATCCCATACTCCACATCACATCTCACACCCCCTCCCACCCCTTCAACCCCCGCCTCCCCACCCCTTCCTCTCTACCCCACACCCGCAGCTAGGAACACTGGCCACTACGCTAGCACTTAACAACAAGCATTGCCACATGTCTGTTAGTCTTCTGGTCGCCCATTATACACACTGCGGCAGACTTATTCAGCAGGAATCACGAAAGACCACTTCACTGAAAACACACACAGACACACACAGACACACACACACACACACATACCTGACACGTGGCCATTAATAACATGTCAGAAATAAATTAAGATTGTTTGTTTTCAATGGGGTTTTTTATTGTTTTTACTTGTATATGATTCTAAGTCATGACTGTGTGGAAATGAAAAATAAGGACTTTCGTGTTTTCAGGCCAAAATACGAAGACTATATGGGCCAGTTGCTTTCTACAATGGTATGTTGGACATTATACTTACAAATATCACAGTCTACAATTTTACAAGCGATACTTCCGACTATCAGCGCGGTACACACGGTACATGGTCACAACTTACTGAGATTATAATATAACCCGGCGTTGAATTATAGTTCGTCTGAGTAAGGTTTTAAATAAGCGCTCGAGACACGCAATCCATACTTACCACGATCCTGAATGTGTTCGTTGGTGTAGAAACTCATCACGGTGACAGCTCGAGGTTCACCTGCTTCTCCGACCTGTGCCACATAATACTTGTGTTGTCATGGCAAGAGTGTGAGTTGCTCTATAACCTCGTATGAAACGCCACAGTATAGAAGACTGCTGTAGGTGAGATGTGTGACACTGAGGGCCACCAAAACTTGAGAGAGGAAAGAGTCAGGTGTTTGTATATATATGCATTGTATGTTGAATAAAACCCTCAAGGAGTAAGAGGCTTATACATGGAGGAATATGCTCACACACTGCGGAACATTGTACGAAAGTGACGTGTAAGGTGAACCTGCCAGGAGGAGAGTTCCACAACTGAAGGCAGAGAGATTATTATGAATATTGTAATGAGAAGGTTTATATGGCTAACTTTAGGTATTTATCTTATTATTCGTGTTGTTTATAAAGTCTCTCGGGGCTGTAACGTTTATTCTGAATACACATTAAATCTCCTCATGGCTTCCCTTAAAATGGTTTGGCTGTGTTGTGGGGTTGGGACCCGGAAGCACTGACCCTGTTTATAAACACTCTTACCTCACTTAAGTCGATATGTAATCATGTCCATTCTCTCTTGTAAAACTATTGCACCACATAATCCCAACACTTTATGTAAAAACTCGTACAAAAGTCAGAGTTTTCAGCCAGTCAGCTTAATGTAGAATTTCTGGGGCGTCCTTCAGGTCAGATACGGCTAGAGAATTCAAAAGCGATGTTGAAAAATAAACTCACCAGTGGCAAGTTAATGTGGAAAAAACACAGATGGTTTGTGTTAATACTCGTGTTAAGAGGCGCATGTGTGGTGTCTGCTCTATAACACGGTCCGGGCTGAGTGGAGAATTAAATAGGTTCGTGTCGTTTGTCATTAAAAATAGTTTAAAGCTGCAGATTTATTCGTGTGGTGGAGCAGCACTTCGGCCACCCTTCAAAAATGTAGTCCAGTTGTGCATAATTTTTGTCGGATATCTCATTTACTGATGTTCCACCGGATATCTGTACAAAGGCATGCGTATGGAAGCTACGACAGACGGATGTTTGCCTGGCTTCTGCCCTCAATGACACTCTTAAATAGTCCTAAGTATATTATCCCCTCACTCACTAGGAGGGTCACGTGCTGCCCACCTCCCCTCTGCCTGTAGCCACACCAACTGTCGCCTCTTTTGTTGCACGGGTTTTATCTGTGGGTACTTACCGTGAGTCACGAGCTGGCCGCCTTCACTCACCTGCTGGGGTGCCTCACCTGGCAGGTGCTCACCCTGTCACATTAGAACACCCAGCAAGTTGAGAAACACCGCCGGGATAACCTCATGGTGTACCTCTAACTGTGTCTCTACAGTGTCCCGACTCACACTCTCACTAATATCAGCTGGAAAAAACAAGAACGCGCTAAATACTTTACCTAACTTATAAACATCAGTGATAGTCAAATTGATACCTGTGTTTATATTTTAACGTTAGTGCCGTTACTAGCCACAGTTGAAGGTGTTGGTGACTGTAAGAGCTGAGGACGTAGAGGGAAGGTTCGAGACACAATATAGAGGCAGGTGCTAAATTTTCACCATACTGAAAATAACACTTTTTCAATATCTTCCATGGCGAAAAACGTAAACAAATTGTACAATCTTTGTCGACCAATGAGAGTGCAGGAGGAGGGGTGACTCACCATCCATGACCAATGAGAATGCAGAATGAGAGAGGTGACTGACTCACTATAGTTAACTACTTAGTGAGAGGGGGAGAGGTGACTCACCATACATGACCAATGAGAGCGCAGGGTGTGAGGTGTGACTCACTAATAAGTCATATCGCTCACCTCACCCTAAGGGATGAACCGGAAATTCAATTCGGGGTTTGTTTGATGGTAGTCACCTGACGCCAAGACCGGACTCCTGGGTGGTTGTTGGTTGTTGATGGTGGTTGTTGGTAGTGGTTGGTGGTGGTGATGGGGATTGATGGTGGCGGCGGCGGCAAGTATACTGATGGTAATGAATGAAGGATAGTGGTGGTGGTGGTGGTGGTGGTGAACACTTGTAGCAGTAATCGTGGTTGTCGAGGTGTTGTAGTGGTTGTGGTGTTATCAGGTGTTGTGTGGGAGGGCTTTACGCTTCACCAGTAATAGAACAGGATATGAGAAAATCTTGTATCAGGTTTTACTGGAATGGATGTTGGGGGCAAGTGAGGACCTTCAGGCCCCCGAGACACGCTGAGTCACGCAAATGTTGGCCCCAAAGACACGACTCCTAGCTGAGACACGCATATGCTGGCCTCTGAGACACGACTTTTAGCTGAGACACGCAAATGTTGGTCCCTGAGACACGACTTTTAGCTGAGACACGCAAATGTTGGCCTCTGAGACATGACTCTTAGCTGAGACACGCAAATGTTGGTCCCTGAGACACTACTTTTAGCTGAGACACGCAAATGTTGGTCCCTGAGACACGACTTTTAGCTGAGACACGCAAATGTTGGCCCCTGAGACATGACTCTTAGCTGAGACACGCATGGAGATTTTGCAGCCACTATGTCCACTCTACCCGGCCACCGCACCCGACGAATATTAACCTCACTTAAAATGGAAAATTCGTCAGACCCGACTTTTTTAAATTGGACTTTTTGGGAACTCTTGAGAATTCTCGACTCCAGGAAATTTAGGGGACACTTGAATGATGTATTATTGTACGGCCAATAAAAGACCAGCATATTATCGTATGAATTTTCCTGGTCGTTTATAAAGTTTCCTTAGTCAAAACATAACAATTGTTGATGAAGCATAACACTAACATGTAGCTTCAGTACAATACACAACACCGAAATGAAAGTTTGTGTGATTAATTTTGAGAACAGAGTATTAAATGTTGTAGTATTTGTGTTATAATGTGTAGTAATCAATAGCTTGTTTTGGTGTAGCGTACAGAGGGACTGATTCAAACTCCAATTCAGAGCACAGTGGTTTAAGTAAGAAAACAGAAAATCAATGAACACAACAATAAACGAATGAGTGATAATATAACATTGATAATCATGGAATAATCAGCCAATGAACGAGAGAAACAACGGCGGTTTAGTGTTGATGTGATCCAAGCTGACCAAGGTGGAGTAACAGGACAGTGTGTCGGTCTTATGATATAATTAGTGCGCAAAAGAAAACAGTAAAAGTGGTGAAACGAGACAGAATCCTACAGGGAGAGTTTACTTATCATTAATTAAGACAGAACTACAGTATACTTACAGTGAACAACCATCAATATAGAAATACAAACGTTAACAGATATATCCAACCCAGGTGCAAGTGTCACTTCATCGGGACTCAACTATAAGTGTCACTGTGTCAGAACCTAACCATAAATATCACTGTGTCAGAACCTAACCATAAATATCACTGTGTCAGAACCTAACCACAAGTGTCACTGTGTCAGAACCTAACCATAAATATCACTGTGTCAGAACCTAACCACAAGTGTCACTGTGTCAGAACCTAACCACAAGTGTCATTGTGTCAGAACCTAACCGTAAGCGTCACGGTGTCAAAAGCAACCCACCAGTATTATTGTTTCAGAGTCCACCCACAAACTTTATTGCATGAGGACACAATCACAGCCGTGTCATTTTGTACCAAGCCAACCGAGATTCCAGGTACCTGCGGTCGACCAGGTACCCCCAGGATGCGTATTTTGGAGGTGTGGCGCCGGTGGGGTTAGCGTCAGCATGAATGAACAAGCAGACACCGACGTCGAGAATAACAACACCGACCAACCAGCTGGTGACGGTGGCTGCTCTGACGTCGATCTTGCTGCCTCCATCCACTCCCAGGACGCCGATGATGGTGAGTGTGTGTGGGAGAGGGGAAGGTGGTGGGGGGATTATTGGGGAAGAAAAGGGGAAAGGTGGGGGATTATTGGGGGAAGAGAGGGGGAAGGTGGTAAGAGAAGAGAGGAAAAGGTAGAGATTTAATGGGGAAAAATGTGAGGGAAAGTAGATTTAAGAGAAAACTAGATAAAGGGAAGAGAAAGAAGATGGTAAGTTGATAAAGAATTAAAGTACAAGTACCTCCAAAAGAAGTATATATGACTAGAATAGATGAAGGCAGATGATACCAAAGATGGAGACAAGATTGAATCCTGACAACACTGGGAGAATTCCTTAGTTGAGGCAGCGACACACGTACTCTCAAGTATAAACACAGAATACAGAATGAGAAGTTAGGTATATTGTACGAGGTGATGGGTGTGTGAGAAAACTTCTAGAATTCCTCATTGGTAGGGACAGGGATTCGGGAGGACGCAGGAGAGGTAGACAGTGTGTATGTAAGATTTTGCACTCGTGTAAGGTTATGAGTTGTGAGAAAGGAACAGGAAACTACTTGTTGAGTTTATTGACCTGAGGACGATAATGTAAACACAGGTGGACTTAAGGAAGTTTGCATCTTCAGTTGGCGAAGAAGATTGATGAACGCTGCTAGGAGTTTGTACAGAGGGAGCCGTGAGAGGGAGTGGTTCATGGTGTACGGTGGAGTAAGCAGGACTGAAGCATGTAACGTTTAACTGCTGGCTGCCTAGCACTGTACTGGCCTAGTAGGTAAACAGTGTACAGGAGGGAGGTAGGTGAACAGACAGTGTCCAGGAGGGAGGTAGGTGAACAGACAGTGTCCAGGAGGGAGGTAGGTGAACAGACAGTGTACAGGAGGGAGGTAGGTGAACAGACAGTGTACAGGAGGGAGGTAGGTGAACAGACAGTGTACAGGAGGGAGGTAGGTGAACAGACAGTGTACAGGAGGGGAGGTAGAACAGACAGTGTACAGGAGGGAGGTAGGTGAACAGACAGTGTACAGGAGGGGAAGTAGGTGGAACAGACAGTGAACAGGAGGGGAGGGAGGTGAACAGACAGTGTACAGAGGAGACAGGTGAACAGACAGTGTACAGGAGGGAGGGAGGCAACAGACAGTGTACAGGAGGAAAGTAGGTGAACAGACAGTGTACAGGGAGGGAGGTGAACAGACAGTGTATGTAGAGGGATGGGAGACAGTGTACAGGGGAGGGAGGTGAACAGACAGTGTACAGGAGGGAGGTGAATACAGTGTGGGGAGAGGGGAAACACATATGTACAGCAGGAGGGAGGTGAACAGTGTACAGGAGGGAGGAGGTGAACAGACAGTGAACAGGAAGCAGGTAGGTGAACAGACAGCAGGAGGGGGAGGAACAGGACAAAGCAGGAGGGAGGAACAGACAGTGTACAGGAGGCAACAGACAGTGTACATGGAGGGAGGTAGGTGAACAGACAGTGAGGAGGAACAGACAGTGTAAGCAGGAGGGAGAGGTGGAACAGACAGTGGTACAGGAGGAGGATGTGAAACACAGGTATGGTGGGAAAAGGGAGTGTAGGTGAACAGACAGTGTACAGGAGGAGGAGGTGAACAGACAGGCAGGAGGGGAGGTGAACAGACAGTGTACAGGGAGGGAGGGGAGGAACAGACAGTGTACAGGGAGGGGAGAGAGGTGAATAGACAGTGTACAGGAGGGAGGTAGGTGAACACAGTGTACAGGAGGGAGGTAGGAACAGACAGTGGCACAGGAGGGAGGTAGGTGAACAGACAGTGTACAGGAGGAGGGAGGTGAACACAGTGCACAGGAGGGAGGTGCAGGTGAACAGACAGTGTACAGGAGGGAGGAGGTGAAACACAGGCACAGAGGGAGGGGAACAGACAGTACAGGAGGGAGGTAGGGTGAACAGACAGTGTACAGGGAGGGAGGAGGTGAACAGACAGTGTACAGCACGGAGGTGAACAGACAGTGTACAGGGAGGAGGAGGTGAACAGACAGTACAGGGGAGGGGAGGGAGGTAAACAGACAGTGTACAGGAGGGGAGGGGAGGGGAACAGACAGTGTACAGGAGGGGAGGGAGGCAACAGACAATGTACAGGAGGGGAGGGAGGTGAACACAGTGTACAGGGGAGGGAGGTAGGTGAGCAAGACAGTGTACAGGAGGGAGGAGGAACAGACAGTGTACAGGGGAGGGAGGTGAACAGACAGTGTACAGGAGGGGGAGGGAGGTGAACAGACAATGTACAGGGGAGGGAGGGAGGTGAACAGACAGTGCAAGGAGAGGAAGTAAACAGACAGTGTACAGGAGGGAGGTGAAATAGACAGTGTACAGGAGGGAGGCAAAGTGAACAGACAGTGTACAGGAGGGAGGTAGGTGAACAGACAGTACAGGAGGGAGGTAGGTGTGAACAGGACAGTGCACAGGAGGAGGTAGGTGAACAGACAGTACAGGAGGAGGTGAACAGACAGTGTGGGCAGAGGGAGAGGTACAGGACAATGTACAGGAGGGAGGGAGAACAGACAGGGCAGGAGGGGAGGTAGGTGAACAGACAGTGTACAGAGGGAGGTGGGGAGAACAGACAGTGTACAGGAGGGAGGGAGGTGGAACAGACAGTTTAATGGAGGGTAACAGACAGCAGGAGGGGAGGTAGAGAACAGACATGTACAGGAGGGGAGGTAGGTGAACATGCAGAGGGAGGGAGGAACAGACAGTGTAGGGAGGTGAACAGGACAGTGTACAGTAGGAGGTGAAATAGACAGTGTACAGGAGGAGGTGAAATAGTCAGTTTACTGGAGGGAGGCAGTAGGGTGAACACAGTGTACAGGAGGAGGCAATGAACACAGCAGGAGGGAGGTAGGTGAACAGCCAGTGTACAGTGGGAGGGAGGTAGGTAAAACAGACAGTTTACTGGAGGGAGGTAGGAGAACAAACAAGCTTATCAAGGGAGGTAGGGGAGGCGAAGGGAGAGTCTGTAGGGCCCTGGAGCTGACTGGAGAGGTGAGGTGGAGGGAGGGGGGCAAGGAGGAGGGAAGGGTGAGGGAGGGAAAGAAGGAGGGGTGTGGGGGGACAAGGGTAGAAGGAAGGAAGGTGAGGGAATGGGGAGGGAGGGAAGGAAGGTAGAGTGAGAGTTGGAAGATAGTGGGGGGCATGGAACGGTGGGGTGATAGGGGGAGGCAAGGGAGAGAGGTGGGAGAGGAGAGAGGGAAGGGAGGCGGGGAGGGGAGGGTGGTAGGTGGAATGGGAATATGAGAGTCGTTTCTCGGTTGGCTGGTGCTGGGAGGGGCAGAGAGGAGGACGAGCTGAGAGGGGCGGTACAGGCTGAGAGAGAGACGGTACAAGCTGAGAGAGAGGCGATACAGGCTGAGAGAGAGGCGATACAGGCTAATAGGGACGATACAGGCTGAGAGAGACGGTACAGGTTGAGAGGGACGATACAGGATAAGAGAAAGGCGGTACAGGCTGAGAGAGAGAAGGTAGAAGGTGAGAGCGAGGCGGTACAGGTTGAGAGAGAGACGGTACAAGCTAAGAGAGAGAGAGACGGTGCAGGCTGAGAGAGAGACGGTACATGCTGAGAAAGAGAAGGTACAAGCTGAGAGATGATACAAGCTAAGAGAGAGACGATGCAGGCTGAGTGAGAGAAGGTACAGATTAAGAGAAACGGTACAGGATGAGAGAGAGACGATGCAGGCTGATATAGACGATACGGGCTGAGAGAGAGACGGTGCAGGCTGATAAAGAGACGGTACAGGCTGAGAGAGACGGTACGGACTGAGCGAGAGACGGTGCAGGTTGATATAGACGGTGCAGGCTGATAAAGAGACGGTACAGGCTGAGAGAGACGGTACGGACTGAGCGAGAGACGGTGCAGGTTGATATAGACGATATGGGCTGAGAGAGAGACGGTGCAGGCTGATGCTAGACAGTGCTGGGTGAAAAGAGACAGTACAAGCTGAAAGAAGGCAGATGGGCTGGCTGAGAGAGACAGTATTGGCTGAGAAGAAGGAAGCGGTACAGGCTGAGAGAGAGAGGCAGTACAGGTTGAGTGGGACAAGAAGGAGCAGGATGAAGGGGAAGGACCACTGAAGCAGACCAGGGGGACAGACCAGAATAGGTGCACAGAGAAGGGAAATCAATTGAGGCTGATGAAAAGTGTTGGCAGGCTGAGGGAGGAGGTAGGGAGGTCTGAGGGGAGGTGAGAGAGAGGGAGGTCTGAGGGGAGGGAGAGTGAGGAGGAGAGTCTGAGGGAGGAGTGAGAGAGGGGGAGGAGTCTGAGGGGGAGGGAGGTGAGAGGGAGGAGTCTGAGAGGAGAGAGTGAGAGGGAGGGAGTCTGGGGAGGGAGGTGAGGGAGGGAGGAGTCTGGGGGGAGGTAGAGAGAGAGGGAGGTCTGAGGGGAGTGGAGAGGGAGGAGTCTGAGGGAGGTGAGAGAGAGGGAGAGTCTGAGGGGAGGGAGAGTGAGAGGGAGGAGTCTGAGGGGAGGTAGAGAGAGAGGGAGGAGTCTGAGGGGAGGTAGAGAGAGAGGGAGGAGTCTGAGGGGAGGTAGAGAGAGATGGAGGAGTCTGAGGGGAGGTAGT